GCAGACTGAAAGATATACATGTATTTATATAGTAACATTATATGGTAAAATTGATCCATCTGAATAAACTATAGACAATGCAAGCACAGAGCCCAGTCGAGGGACCAATTACCGTGGAATAGAAGCCGTAGCCATTTTCAGCCGCAGGAAAGAGAGGACGTAAAAACATGGGAAACGCTTTTTTAAAAAAACCTTTGATGATACATCTATCCCTTTGATAACAAAAAGATTGTATCATCCCTGACGCATCATGCATTTGCTGTAATGGTCTCTCTCTCTCTCTCTCTCTCTCTCTCTCTCTCTCTCTCTCGTTCTCCCTGCTTCTTTTCTTTCATCTCTCTTTTTCGACCTTCACTTCCTCCCTCCCCCGCTCTCCATTACGCATGTTTTATTTTGGGGGGTTATTCTGTTTTTTGTTGTTTTTGTTTTTTTTACTTTACTTTCGTTACCTCCGCAGGAACTCCCAACACCGCCCACACACAGCCGAGTAGCCCGGACCTCCTCCTCCTACTCCTCCACATCGCCAGGACATTCCAGACCCTGAGGCTCGTCCAAACGTCAGCTAAGTCTGGAATCCCAAGTCACACACGACTCTCCGGCTTGCAGCGACCTGCGGGGATAAGACGGAATACAGTTCTCAAACACAGGTCATGAGAAAAGGCAACAGAGGCAGCAGTTTGTGTGTCGACGTCAAGTCAAAACCGCCAAAAGGTTGATGCGTTTAACCCCGCGCTCTTCCGCCCTTGGGTGGCGCTGGGGGTAATGAAATCTCCCCCCCCCCCTCGCTGTATACTGCTCCCCAACTCGGCCGGAAGTAGACATTTCTGACTGGACAGTGAAAACAGAAAAGAAAACCCCTCTTCGATCACACATTTTTTGGCTTGTATACAAAAGTGTTACGTTTTCGAAATACTGGCAAGCATCTGTACATGGTGCAGCAGTTAAGCGCTTCTCGCCATCGCACTAAGATGGAGTAAGTTCGATTCCCGTGTGGGGAAAATTTGTAACGAGTCCTTTTTCTGGGATCTCTCAATCCGGGTTGGCCCTGACCGGCAGGGTCAAAGCAGCCTTCTTCCCAAATGATCTAAATTGTGTTGAGTGGGAGGAAGTACAACGTTTTAAAGGACACAGTATCTTAAGTGGCCTCTCTTTGGTACAGGAGAGAGAAGATAAGGGACATAGGGTGCTATCTGTGCTTTGTGCCTAGATGAGCTACTAAATCGCGCTATTTTTTACATTTTGTCTTTTTTACGTCATAGACCCTCTATATATCAGTCTCAGTCAAAGCGTAAAAAAAAAGTCACTAGGAAGGGAAAAGAAGCATTACTTCCTGGTTTTTATGTTGCTGTACTTTATGGTAGGAGCGGAAGAAAAGATACGGGATAGGAAAACTTGACATAGAATAATTAATACAACGTTAAGGAATCAATACTTTCCAACATTATTTGATATATCCATCACAAATCTATTTATAGAGGCAGGAGCCATCAATGTCTAGGTGCTATTTTAGCCTTGATATATCCAACTTTTTATGTGAGAAATAAAAGTGCAGAGAAAGCAAGAGCAGTCGATGTATGGTATGGAGACAAAACCTCTTTTTCTTTCTCTTCTTTCCACGCTCTCTTGTTTGTCGCAGACCTTTGTGGGGGAT